AGTACCCGTTCATCAAGTTAATCCAACTGAATCGTATGTATGCATAATCTGCTTCTCAAATCGAATTGAAAAAATTCTTGACTACCATTATGCCATTTTTTTTTTTGTCTTTCCAGTCCCCCTTTCATTAATTATACTACTGATACTTTCAATTAAGATTAGCTTCTTTAACCATTCTTTATCTTCGAACTATTTCTTACTACCGCTTTTCTTACAGTTCTAATTTCAACTTCACACTAATGGAATTTTTTTTTTTGAGTCCCCCCCACCCTGGATACAGAACTCAAAGGTAGAAGAAAAATTTGGTTTTATCCCTTGCCTATTTTAACAAATAAGAAAATAGAGCTTTAAAAGTATAATACCTACAAGGAAACAAGGAAAAAATAAATATAATTTTTTAAAAGACACTTTTTTGCAAATATTAAGAAGTTTCTTATTACTATTATTCTGTAATTGGCTTTTAGTAACTAACTAAATCTTTTAAATTTTATTTATATTACCGTGGTATCCAAGACCAATCTATAAAAAGGTTTACTCAATTGTAATTCGAAAACTATTACTAACGTTGTTATATTTCGTATTTTTAACTTTTATTTGAAACTATAAAAAAGATAAAATAAGATAAAGATAAATATCTGTTGTAATATTACATCGATTACTATAACATATTCTCAATTATCTGCATTGTAACTGCATGAATTGATACATTCAATTAATATCATTATACCTATTTTTGCTATACAAGTTATACTTTTTTTTACCTAAAAATAAGACTTTAAATTCCCTTACTAACAAACCCCTTACTGTATATCGAAAATTTTTTCAACCATGACTGCAGTTAAGAAACAAAGGATAATTAACTGTGTTAGCCAATTGCCATATAAAATCCAATTGGGTGAATCTGATGACGATTGGAAGATTAAACCATTACAAAATAATAGTGCATTATTTTCTTCTTTCCAATATTTAAATGAAAGTGAGGACTATGAACAACACATTGTGGCTTGGACTGGTGAAATTACAAGAGAAAATAACGGTGTTTCTATTTTCAGCAACGAAGATAATATCAACCAAAAACTATCAAATGACTTAAAAGATTCAAAAATTGATGACAAGTCCAAAATTTCAAAAACTACATCAACTGAAAACCCAACTCATCCCTCAGAATTGGAAGAAGATCCATTGTATTTATCTCAATCACAATTGGATAAATTAGATGAATCATTAAAGGAATACTCTAGTGATGAAAATAGCATTCACTTAAAGGTAGATAATATTCATCCAGTTTGGTTATTGAGAAGGGATCAAAATAGATGGAGAAAGTATGCTGAGAATGTCATTTGGCCAACTTTCCACTATATCTTGAAACAAAGCGCTGAAGGTGAAGAAGAAAATAATTGGTGGTATGATTATGTCAGATTTAATGAAGCTTATGCAATGGAAATTAGTAAAATTTACCAAAATGGTGACATTATTTGGGTTCACGACTATTATTTACTATTATTACCACAATTATTAAGAATGCAATTGAACCCAAAAAATGATGATAAAAATTTCAATTTGAAAATTGCTTACTTCCATCATTCACCATGGCCAAGTAATGAATATTTCAGATGCTTGCCACGTAGAAAACAAATCTTAGACGGTTTATTAGGTGCCGATAGAATTTGCTTTCAAAATGATGGGTTCTCCAGACATTTTGTATCAAGTTGTAAAAGGTTGCTAGATTCAACATCCAAAAAATCCAAGAATGAATTCGATATAGATCAATATCAAATCAGCGCTTATGGTGGTGATGTAATAGTGGATTCATTACCAATTGGTATTGACACTAAAGTATATTTGGAAAAAGCTTTCGATAAAGATATTGATTCAAAAGTTTTGGCAATTAAACAAGCTTATCAGGATAAGAAAATCATCATTGGTAGAGATCGTCTAAATGAAGTTAGTGGTGTTATTCAAAAACTAAGAGCTTTTGAAACCTTCTTAGCAATGTATCCTGAATGGAGAGATAAGGTTGTCTTGATTCAAGTTAGTAGTCCAACCAATAATAAAGATTCACAGACAACAATTAAATTAGAACAGCAAGTTAATGACTTGGTAAATTCAATTAACGTAACTTATGGTAACTTGAATTTTTCCCCTGTCCAACATTATTATATGAGAATTCCAACTGATGTTTACTTTTCACTATTTAGAAGTGCAGACTTGTGTTTAGTTACTACTGTTAGAGATGGTATCAATACCACTTCGTTAGAATATGTTACGATAAAATCTAAGACATCCCAATTCCAATGCTACGGTGATCCATTGATTTTGAGTGAATTCTCTGGTTCCTGTACCGTTTTAGATAAGGCAATTATTGTAAACCCATGGGATTCTGTTGCGGTTGCAAAATCTATTAATTCAGCATTGAATTTAACTGTTGAACAAAAGTATGCCTTGCAAGAACAAGTCTGGAGTCAAGTTCCAACTATTCAAGATTGGACTGATAAATTTTTGGCCACATTCAAGACTATTACGGAAAAGTTTGGAAACGATCCGTCTAGCGATAGAAGGATAACCCCAGCCTTAAATAGACCAATTTTACTGGAAAATTACAACAAGGCGAAGAGACGTTTATTCTTATTCGATTATGACGGTACTTTAACTCCTATTGTTCAAGATCCTGCTGCTGCTATTCCCTCTGCAAGATTGTATTCCATTCTAGATAAGTTGGTTGCTGATCCGAAGAACCAAATTTGGATTATCTCTGGCCGTGACCAAAAATTCTTAAATAAATGGTTAGGCAGTAGATTACCTCAATTAGGATTGAGTGCAGAACATGGTTGCTTTATAAAGGATGTTTCTCATGAAGGTTGGGTAAATTTGACTGAAAAGTATGATATGTCTTGGCAAGAGGCTGTTTCTAAGAAAATGGAAGAGTTTACAGATCGTACACCAGGTTCATTCATCGAGCGTAAGAAGGTTGCTTTGACTTGGCACTATAGACGTGCTGTTCCTGAACTTGGTGAATATAATTCTTTGGAATTGAAAAATGAACTGGAAGAAATTGCCCAAAAATATGATTTAGAAGTTATGGAAGGTAAGGCTAATGTTGAAGTTCGTCCAAAGTTTGTTAACAAGGGTGAAATTGTTAAAAGATTAGTCTGGCACAAACATGGTGAACAACAAAATTTGTTGGCTGGTCCAGATTTTAATTTATTAATAGATGACATGCCTGACTTTGTTTTATGTCTAGGTGATGATTTTACAGATGAAGATATGTTTAGGCAACTAAACAGTGTAGAAAAAACCTGGGAAGAAAAATTCCCTACTAACTCCAACCAATGGGGTAATTATGGTATTTATCCTGTTACTGTTGGATCTGCTTCAAAGACTACAGTTGCTAAATCCCATTTAACTGACCCTCAACAAGTTTTAGATACTCTAGGTTTATTGATTGGTGATGTCAACTTATTCCAAAGTGCAGGTACTGTTAATCTGGATACAAGAGGTCATGTTAAGAATAGTGAAAGTAGTCACAAATCTGAACAAGCAACCGTCGCATATGCTTTGAGAAAGACAAATTCCTCTACAAGCATCAAGAAATGATAGATTTTTATTGACCGTATATGATTAGTTCTTTTATTTTTCGGTCTCTTATGTTTTTTTTTAACTTTCATTATATCTTTTTTTCGTTCTAATGTTCAACTTTCTATATATAAATACTGTATTTATGAACCTTATCGTTTTTAATATTCTAGGAAGGCGTTAACTTCTTGATTTTTTAATTTCAATCTGTTTTCATTAATCATTCATTAATGCTATATATATATGCTATTGAAATTACTAAATATTACGAGCTAAATAATCAGTCGAACTTAAATGCAAATATCAGCTTTGGTATTGATTGATTATTATGCATTTCAGTTCTTTATGGACCTTGATTTAATGCAATTATGTCTTGAACTGTCTGTTCTAGCTTTGCTCTAGTTATTGTCACTTCTTTACTTTTCATTGCAGAAGTACAACTGATCAAATGCCATAAACCGATAATATACCTAATTACTGGCATATCCTGTAGTTTAGAAAGATTAAAGCAAACCTCCGAGATCTTGCAAATCGATTCCAAATCATGCTCAAAAAGACTACATCCCAAATAGTTCAATAATATTCTAAGCAATAAACCCTTTTTCAGTTTCAAATACTTACCTTCCTCTTTCAAAACCGATATCTCAACGTCATTTAGACCCTGGATTTTATTTGAATTGTAGTAGACCCTTAGTTTTTCAAGATAATGACTTCTTTCTTCATCTGTACATGGCAATGGTTGATCAGTAAAAGGCTTAAAATGTGTTGTGACCCAAAGAATAGTAAGAGTGCATTCCCATATTGAATTCTCCTTTAAATCAGATTCTTCTAAAAGTTTTTCTACTTGTTGCCATATATTGTGACTATCAGACACACTTTGATGAGATTGTTCATTTTTAATACCTTCTGAAGATTTGATAATAAATGAATTTAGCAATGATATCATTCTAATTTCTACAGTTGCATTTTTAGACCGGACGACTGTAGAGTATTGATCTAATGACAGAGTACCATCGCCTTTTATTTGTGATGTAATCCCTTCCATAAGCGTATGGTAACTGTCAAAAGAATTTTGAGAGGTGTTTGATATTTCACTGAAATCATTATTTATCAATTTTTGTGGGGTTAATATTAATTGTTCCCATAATTGATAAAAATTACAATAACTTATAATCGATTTGTACCAGTTGATTTTAGCATCCCAATAGGAAAGAGAATTTTCGGATGTTGATTTATCATTCAATGAATCTATAAGTTTTTTTGTAGTTGACTGAACTTTTGGTAAAAATTTAGTAGAAAAATTAGCATTCTTATCGTAACAGTTCACAAGATAGCTGATACTTTGTAGCAGAAGAAGTATATTTTTCAAATCTTTATAATTGAAAATAAGTGGTAAAGTAATATTAATTCTGTTTGAATCATCAAATTTTATGCAATAATTGTCACGATTTTCTAGGTTTGATTTTTGCTGATTGAAAAATTCCTTGAATTCATTTAGCTTATTTGTTATATTTTCTTCTTTATATATCTGCATCATCAACTCTAGAACCATTCTCCAGGCAACCAGAGTCGGACTAAATCTATTAGTATTAATTTCATTCAACTTTTCTATCACGTCAGGAGGCACTGTGTAGCGTTCATCCAACAGGAAGCTGACATATGCCAATATAATAAAAGCTTCCCATTCATGATTTAACTTTGATGACTTTTCTAACAGATTGTTGAACTTGCTACGTATTAGATTTTTCTTTCCAATTTTAATATTCAACCAGATATTAATAAAAGAGAACAATGGCACCCAAAACTCCTGCACTTCTTGTGTGGACTCCAAAGTTTTCAAATACTCTAACAACGAATCACAACTCCTGGTTGACATTTTATAATAATATTCAGATGAATATTTCATTGGGATCTCATACAATGCAATAAATTCACAATGTAGCTTCTCATTAAGAACCCCCAATTTATGATTTTTCAACCTCTCTCTCAATGAGGACAAATAATCTTCTGCCAAAGACAAGTTGTTAGTCTCATTCAACAGCACATGAACAAGTTCCAAAGTAATCTTGGCGTCCTGTTCCACTGTTAGTGAGTACTCTAATTTCAACCTCTGTAAACATTTTATCCCCATGGAGATTAAAGTATAGTACTGCTGCAACTGGACCTCATCAGAAACCTTTCCAGAAAGCTTATAAGCCTGCTCCAAGTACTCATGGGCCAATCCATAAACTAGTTCTGGTCTAGGTTTCGAAACATTTGAATTAACCTCGTTATCAACCATAGCGTATTAACAGCAGAATTTTACTTAATTTCAGCAATACACAACCTTTTCGAACGCTTAAAACAACCAGATATACCTTATAACCAAATAAAGTACCAATCCCACAGGTCTATAATCTCTTATCCAGCTTCAGTCACCTAAAAATCACTAATTTAAATCTCATCTCATCGATTTCTTGAACTGTTTCTTAAGTATCGATGCTTCTCTTTGATATCGATTAGAAATCACACATCGTAATTAACGATACAACTCGATAATATCAAAAAAAAATAAATCTCGAAATTTTTGACCTTTGAATTTGGTTAAAAATGGGCATACTTTAAAGGAATTTGGAGGAAACTTAGGAATTAAATGGTGATTCAGAAGGGGTTTGAGGGGAATCAGCGGTTCTACAGGTGCAGCAAAGCTGGTGTAATTATATTTGATTCGATTTATTTTCTTGTTTGAGTGAAACTTTTGGTAAAAAGCCGAAAATTTTGGGATAAACAAACAGATTAAATAAATATTCACGGTAGGGAAATTCCACTGTTGAAAAGAAACAAGTAAGCACAAGGGGATATTTTCCAAGGTTTACTATCTACCTTTATATTGTGGATCTGGGTTTTGTGAAGTGAAAGGAGCATACACGAGAACAGTCGAGATGTCAGAGGATGACCGTTTAAAGAAGTTCCAGGAGGCTAATAAGATAGTCTTTGATCCTAATACTAGACAGGTTTGGGAGAGTCAGAACAAAGAGGAAAGAGTGGCCAAGGTTGAAGCTACTGGTGAAATTTTAGATAACAAGGAAGAATCCGGGGCAGCAGGAGCAGCGGCTGTTGGAGGAAGTGAAGAAGAAGAAGACGATGAGGCTACTTCTGGGATAGTGCCTACTTTACAAAATATTGTGGCGACGGTGAATTTAGGATGTCGTCTTGATTTGAAGACTGTAGCATTGCATGCACGTAACGCTGAATACAACCCAAAGCGTTTTGCTGCTGTTATCATGCGTATCAGAGAACCTAAGACTACTGCTTTGATTTTTGCTTCAGGTAAAATGGTCGTTACTGGTGCCAAAAGTGAAGATGACTCTAAACTAGCTAGTAGAAAGTATGCAAGAATTATTCAAAAGATTGGGTTTGCTGCTAAGTTCACAGATTTCAAAATTCAAAATATTGTTGGTTCTTGTGATGTTAAGTTCCCTATTCGTTTGGAAGGTTTGGCCTTTAGCCACGGTACTTTCTCTTCTTATGAACCTGAATTGTTCCCAGGTCTAATTTATAGAATGGTTAAGCCAAAAATTGTCCTGTTGATTTTCGTTTCAGGTAAAATCGTCTTAACAGGTGCAAAACAAAGAGAAGAAATTTACCAAGCTTTTGAAGCCATATATCCCGTGTTAAGTGAATTCAGAAAGATGTGAGATAACAAGCGAAAATATATCAAATATAATACACAATTAATGACACAAATTCAAGAACAAATAACTATATGTAATTTATATACTGATTCGACAAGAAAAGTCTAGATGGGAACTATGTGTTTTTTTTCCCTTTTTCATGTTGTTTCGTTTTAATTAAAGAAAGGATATAAAAAAAAATTAATGTATTACTACAACCAGCCTTTTCTTAAAAGCTTGAATACATAGAATAACAACCAACCATTAAGTACATTCATCTATCCAACCGATAATAACCAATCTTAGTGGTCATCTTCTTTAATCCCATCACGTCTCAAACGTAATTTCTTGATTATTTCATCACTTTAAAGCACTATAAAACTGAAAAATTTGACGATGATGAGATGAGATAATATAAAACAATAAGTCTATTGAATGAAGGTAAAGTAAAGTAAAGTAAAGTTACTGTTGGTTTGATACGATCAATAAGTGTTGCATTCGTTGTTATAAGTTGTTTGTATTTTATCAATATTGTTTTTGGAAAGGTTTGGTAAAAGTTTCAAATATTAATAAGATTATAGAGGGAATACATTTAAAGTAAGATCAGTGATGAACGTTGATAAAACTATATTGTTGCTTAAACAAGGGAAACATATATCTGAAGATACTGTTTATTCTTTATGTTTGAAAGCTCAGGAGTTGTTAATTAATGAAGCTAATGTAACGCATGTAGATACACCTGTGACTATATGTGGTGATATTCATGGTCAATTACACGACTTGTTAACTTTATTTGATAAGAGTGGTGGTGTTGAAAAGAGTAGATATATATTTTTGGGTGATTTTGTTGATCGTGGATTCTATTCTTTGGAGTCATTTCTTTTACTGCTTTGTTACAAATTGAGATATCCTGATAGAATTAGTTTAATTAGAGGTAATCATGAGACAAGACAAATTACAAAAGTTTATGGGTTTTATGATGAAGTTATGAGGAAGTATGGTAACAGTAACGTTTGGCGGTATTGCTGTGAGGTATTCGATTATTTATCCTTAGGTGCAATTATTAATAATAAAATTTTTTGCGTTCATGGTGGTCTTTCACCAGATGTTGATACTATAGATGAGATTAGAGCTATAGATAGGAAACAAGAGGTACCGCATGAAGGTGCTATGTGTGACTTATTATGGAGTGATCCAGATGAAGTAGAAACTTGGTCGTTATCTCCAAGAGGTGCAGGTTTCTTGTTTGGAGAGAATGAAGTTAATAAATTTTTAAGAACAAACGATATTGAATTAATTACAAGAGCCCATCAGTTAGTAATGGAAGGTTACAAAGAAATGTTTAACGGTGGTTTAGTAACTGTTTGGTCTGCTCCAAACTATTGCTACAGATGTGGGAATGTAGCTGCTGTATTAAGAATAGAAGATGATCTATCAAAAAACTATACCATCTTCGAAGCTGTTCAAGCTCAAGATGGCGTAGGAAATGCAATCATACCTACAAAGAAAACACAGATGGACTACTTTCTATGAAAGTACTACCATGTCTAGACAATTTTGTAAATTAACCTCCAACTCTTCGTTTGCATTCATCTTTTTTCTTTATTAGCATTTTTACATCTCCCACACACACCTGCCATTGCATTGTCTTCGGATGAAAACTTTAGAAAGTGCATTAACTTCATCAACATCAACATCAACAAGGTGTACATTGTAACATTATCTATATATTAAGCCTGTTTAATAACATTTTTTATTAGCTACATTTATTAACCCATTGCTACTCTTATAACACGTAAATTTAAAATTAATTTAATTTAAACCTTTACGCGTCTCATTTCAGATCAAGTTTTAAGATATAAAAAGAGGTTTGAACGATGAGCTATAATTGATCTTGCTGAAGGTTAGACATCGTCGTCACATCAAAGGATACCCAGTGGTTATAGTACTTCCATGTCAAGTTTGAAGAAATGTCCCTAGGTATATCTTTATCTCAACTTATTTCCAGTAAGATTGAGCCTATAAAGTCTGGTATTGAAGAACTAGATGAATGTCTGGAAGATGGGTTCCAAAGTAGATCAATATATGAGATATATGGTCCTCCAGGGATCGGAAAGACTAGACTAGGTTTGCAAGTTATGTCAAATTTTGTTAATGATAAATCTAGGGCCGATGAGAAGGTTCTTTGGATCGAAACTTATAATACATTACCAGTTACTGAAAATAATTTCTCTGATCTTTTAGAAAGTGAACAGGTTTATAGAGTCGAGATTACTAAGATCACAGAGTTAATTGTATTTTTCAATAAGATTGCACTGAATTTAGAAGAATATTCCTTTAAACTTATTATAATTGATGGGTTTTCAGTAATTATAAATGATCATTTAAATAATATACTGAAAAGATCTGAAACAGATATTACAAATGAATACAATTTGCATGAATTGAAGTGCAAACGTTTAATCCTTTTGTTGACAGTAATCACTAAATATACACATTCTAGTGGTTCGACAGTTTTACTACTTGACAATTGTATGAATACCGCATTCAATACAGAGTTTAATCTAACTACAGTTGAAGATAACTTGGAAGTGGTAGACGATGGTAGTAATTTCTTTGTTAAAAACAATGGAGCCAACTCAAATATCGTATATGATACTACAGGTATCAAGAGAAATGTTCAAGTACTTAAAAGTGAATTAGTAAGTAACGTTGGCATTGGAACTAGAGATTCTCGCTGGGAAGTATTTATAAAAGCTAGAATTGGGATGTTTTGGGATTGGGAGAATAAATTCACTTTAGACAATAAGAGATTTAAGGCTGATTTCAGCAAGTGTAGGGTTATGATAGTTTCGAATCTACAAGAAATGGCATCAAATAAAGATAAAGAAAATAACGACACAAGCTTTTCCAGTTCATTCTCAAATAGATATAGCCAGAATAAAGGGCAATACCTGGTAAAGATATTTCCAAATGATGATGGCTATTTTACTTCGACGAAGCCCATCACTAACGGTCAAAGGAAAAAAAGGTTAATATCACCTACCAAATCTAATCCACGTAAAAGACACACCCCATTCATTGATGGTCAATCTACACAAGTTGGTGAATCGACTCAAAACTCAACTCAAGAGTTACAACAGTCTGAAAACTCTATGATATTAAGCATCGATACTACCGCTAATCAATCAGTCAGCAATCCACAAGATGACGAAGTTGTTTATGACAGTGAAGGGTAAAAAATAGTGTCTCCGATTATTAACAATGCATTTACATATTTATATTCCTAATTAGAGATTATTCTGGGTGGCATAAACTTGGCAAACATCTCCTAAAAGTTTAATTCCCTCCACAATTTGTTCTGATTCTAGGAAACTTGTGGAGAGCCTGAAATAACTTTGAGCCAAGTTTCTTTTATCACCTATAACCTCAAAATTCGAGCCATCTGCTAACACTATGTTGTACATATCTTGCGCTAATTTTCCAACTTCAAGTGCATTATAGGATTCAGTTAGTTTCATCCAGTTAAAATAGCCACCTTCAGTCTTTCTTATTTCAGTTCCCTTCGGAAGATATTTTATCATAGCATTATACATTGCATCAGCTCTTTCACAATATGTTTGAATCAAGTTTCTTAGAATCTTTTCAGCATCACCATTAGTTAAAAGTGTACCAACGATCATGGATGTCAATTGAGATGGTGTTCCACCTGAGACATTTGCTCCACCAGCAGAGAGTTGAGTTGCAAGTAACTTGTTTATAGACTCATGGTATCCAAATCTCAAGCCTGGGGCTATAATTTTAGAAAAGGATGCATTGGATACAGTGTTTCCATAACTGGATTCGTCATTATTAGTTTCCCTATCGATGTGGACGAATCTTTTAATTGGTGTGGGAAGTTCAAACTTGTCTGGATCGTTATTGATTGAGTAATTTAACAAATCATATACATCGTCAGTAATAATTAGCATATCATATTTTCTTGCAAGTTCAATCAGTTTACAACGAGTCTCTAAATTATAAGTTTTACCACTTGGATTCGAATAAGTAGGAATCACATAGATAACATATTTATAGACTTTTTTCAAATGACTTATATCAATTGGATTTTTAATAATTGATAGTTCTTTACCATTTTCATTTACTGGGTTTGGGTCAATTGATTCGAAATGTTTTAACTTTGCCTCCAGTAGCTCTAGATCAATCGATTCTTCACCTTTCTCATCTATGGCTGTTAATTTCCCACCAAAGCCAGCATCAATAAAACAATCATTAATTAAGAAATATGTCGGTGAAACTATGAAAGCTTGCTTAGTGACACCAGTATGAGGTAATGTCGCCTGCAATAGAATATTTAGGACACCATATGAGGCACCTGAAGTTAAATTCAAGTACTCTGGTTTGGATCTTGCCTTATCATCTCGATCAAATTTAAATGCCTTCTCATTCACAAACTCAGTAATAGCAGTACGAACCCACAAGGCCCCTTCATTCGAACCATAAGTCAATGGATGTCTATTTAACGGGTCATCATCATAATCTCTGTTTTCACCTAACAGTAATTGCTCTGTTGCTTTGGTAATTTCTTTGTTGGGCAGCAATCTAAAGCTAGGATGGCCTTTGAAGAAGTTTATAGGTGAAGCTGAATCCATTACAAACAACTAAATAAATAACAATCAATGAATTTGACTCCAGGGCACCTCTGATCTAAATACCAACGTGTATATTGTATTGGTTCTATTCTTAACATCCATTGTCTGTTGCTATAATCAAAAATAAGAGTCATGAATCATTTATATAAGCTTAAATTATCCATTATGTTAATATTGCCATGACGAAAATTTTTTTTTTGGATTTATTACTAATTTAGAGGCAGAGACTGGAATTAATCACTACAAACCCATGTTATTATATAATGATTATATCTTTATATTATACATTATCTAATACTTAAAATTATAATGACATTTTAGCCAATTTCAATACAGCGTCTTTGGATTTGGCACCACCAATGAAACCTGCAGCATGGATGAAAACACAACCTGGAACACCAGACTTTTCACTTAATTCATCATCTCTTAAACCTCTCAATTCTTCTGGTAGACCCTTTCTGAATTCAAAAGAAGTAGAAGATACTGGGACGGTAGAAACTCTCCATGTCTTACCAGAATCTTGGAATAGAACAAATTGAATTTGGTTTTCAATGCCCAATTCCTTTTCAACAGCGTATAGATGTTCTTTCCATGGACAGAATTGGTCGAATAGGATGATTTTACCACTTGGATCAACTTCCAATCTGTTCTTGATAGCTTGTTCAACCAAATCCTTAGCTGGCAACCAAGAGTCACCATATCTCTTGACCAATCTGAAGAAGATGTCACCAATGAACTTTGAGGCCATGAAGAAGTTCTCGTCAAACTTTTCAGGAGAACAATCGTCGTTCCAATCTGGGTTCATATTAGAGATGACGGCTGGGATAGTAATTGATTTATCGATAAACTTTGGTTCGATATCGGTGCCTTTCACATCGTAACAGTTGATACCATTGTCATTAGCATCAATGGCTTCAACGAAGTTTTTGTAAACCCTTTCATACAATATATCCAACTTATTAGAGTCCATTGAAGCATTACCGGTTAAAATACTAGAGATAATATCACGACCAAAATGTTTAAATACTAAACCTGCACTTGACAACTTAGTCTTGTAGTTTTCACTAAAGGTTTCATAAAACTCTCTTTGATGATGGTCAAAGAACTTAATACCATCATATTTACCACTAACGTCGACAACAATATCACTGTCTTCCCACATGGCTGGATCTCTGGATCTAACTACTTTGGCATCAGAATATTCTGGCAATAATCTTAGCATATAAACAGCCAATGCTTCATCGGCATGGAATGAATTAGAATGAGTACAAATTTGTTTAACCATATTGTTTGCTATTTTAATCTTCTTAGAGACTGGGGACATAATCTTGCCTACAATTTGACTTCTATAAAAGTGGGAAAGATGGAACAATTTCAATCAAAAGCACAGTAATCAATTGGATCCACTAATGAAGCTCTAAATATCGATCTTCCTCATCGGTTTTGACCTATCTTTAAGTAGTTGTGAAAAGTTTTTCCTTTAAGTTTCAATTGGGCCTTTGCAATTTTAAATTTGACCTCATCACTTGATTAAGTATGCGGTGTACGTGTGCAGATATCAACAAATGGCATAGAATAGGGCTCAACTATTGATAAATTGGTAACTTCAAACAGATATATCCATACCTGGCGCTACTCTTGACCAACTCATGGGCATCTCTTCTCTTCAATGATGCGTTTCCCCTCTGTTTCCTCCCAATTAACACATATAATGCTAAAACTTGAAATATAATGCTCAAAATGGTTTTAAAATTCGAAATTGACAAAGGTTTTATGAAACTTTTTAAAGGATCAAGATGATGAGGTTATATAAAGATAGAAGGTCATTCTGGTAGTGAAAGAGCACCTAATAGGTAGTTTAAGTTGACCTGTAGTGGAGTGGCCATTTTGTGAAAGTTTTGTGAAATTTCTAGGATCATTATTGATTATTCCGTTGCTGATATTATATTAGAGAGTATTTTGAGTTTAATAATGAAGTTACCTTTTAGATATACAAGAGCTCAGTTAGAGATATTTAGGTTTTCATTTTGTTTGTTAGTTCCTATTGGTGTGATGTATTATGTTGGTATTGACACTGATAGAAAGTTCAATGTTCCAGGGTTTTGGCCTGATCCTGAAACTACGAATAAGATCCCAAAGGAACCATATGAAGTCAAAGCTGAATTAGCTAGGATGAGGAAGGAGAGGTTAGAGAGGAGATTGAAGATCGAGAGGACGTTGAGGGAAAAGTACGGTATTGATGTCGAGGAAGAAAAGAGAAAAATCAGATTGGAATTAGGTTTAGATAAGGAAGCTTAAGGAAAAATTGTCTCTATGTATTTTTGTTGAAGAAGGTAAAACAAATTATATACATGTTCAATAATACATTCTTTCCATCCTATTAAAAATCTATTGTTTGTGTCATTGCTTTCCCATGGCTCCTGTTTAAATCACAAACACTTGTCGTTATAATCAGATTTGGACTATATCTGTGAATAATTCGATTTCTGTACATACTAAAATTTCATGATGATGCCATGACAAGATTATCCATCATTCTTATATATATATTTATATCATTTTTATTTAAGCAATATAATACTTCATTTCAAATGTTCTTGAACTTTGATTTATTCGTATTTTTATGTATGTCTGTTTGCACTAAAGCAAATTTTACCAAACAAAGTCCAATGAATTCATCTGAACCTACTTTAATGAGTCCATCACATCACATCATAGCTGATCTATGGTTTACTCAAATGATCCTTTTAAGTGACACTGTTCAGGTTTTCGACTATGTCATCTCTGTCCGATATTGAAATAAAATTTCATCAAAGGTCAAAAAGACAACTCAATATAAGAATTAACAAGTGTATATAATTTGCAAATAAGATCAAGAAGAGCAAACTTGGGGACCCATTGTCTATCTAATTTTGGTATTACCTGGTGTGTAGTTCTGTTCGTCGAGATTTCGCTTGGTTAAAGATGACTTCTTTGATTAATGATGCTGCATTGAGCACTGACTCTTATAATGGTAAGAAATTGCCAAGTTTGCTAGATGATTCTTATCTGTTAGAGAAACTAGAGGAATTATCACTATCTGTGGAGAATAGCAATGATATTAAACCCCTAGATGCTAGTGTTGATGAATCTCTAGAGGAATCCAATGTCGAAAGATACTCGAAGTATGCTAGATATATCGATCAATTGAATTCAAATATCGAGGAATATAAAGTTGTATTAACTCAAACAAAGACAGTAAGTGATCAAGTGATTAAAATCATCAACAATTTCGAGGATATATCAAAGGATACTAATGAATTCATCAATGATACCAATCAATTGCACGGAGAATATATCAAAGTTTCAAAACTGCATGAGGCCATCCCTGAGTTCTTGCAATATTTTGAATCTTTAGATCCAATTATGCGTAGATTAAAACATGCAACATCTGCAAACATAGTAAGAAAGGATTCATTCAAGACATTGATGGTTAATATCGAACAATCTCTGCAATTCTTAGATGAACATACAGATTTCAAAGATTATGATTCTTATAGAATTAAATTTAAACAGTGTTTAATTAGAGGTTGTGAATTGATCGCTAACTATTTGAAAAACTTATTAAGACATTCATACAATGATGTTTATGATATGATTAAGAGAAACGTAAATGACGAAAGTTCTGGTTCAAGGGAAGCTTTGATCTATATCAAATTCGCTACTATTGCTGAAGAGTTTATGTCACAAATTACAGAACTAGCGGGTAGATCTAATAATAAAAATCTAGAAAGATATTCAAACGAAATAAATTCTATCTTGAACGATTGTTACAATGAATATTTCCATACTCGTTGGAGGTTATTGAATTCTGCAATTCATACTCGTTTAAATGAATTTGATAGTGCAAACACTGGCGATCTTTCTTTGATTAAATTCATTCAAGATACTAAAACTTATTTCCAACAGTTATGTCTAGATGAATACAGATTGTATATCCAATTTTTCCCAGAGAAATACTGCAAACCAAGTATTAATATGTGGTTTTTATCTTTATGTGAACCATTTTATGATTCATGCACATCAAGGATATTAAGAGAAAAGGATATTACAGCTTTATGTGATGCTCTTACCCTATTTAGCAAGTACTATGAATTTGAAGAAGGTTCTGAGGAATATTTGAAACATTTTAAAGAAGTTCAATTCGACAAAGTTTTCCAACCAATTGTACAAACATTACAACAAAGATTGATCTTTAGAGCTCAACAATACGTTGATAGAGAAATTGTTCAATATACACCAACTATTGATTCTTTCATGATCACAAACAGAAAGACAGCACCAAATGGTAGTAAACCGCTTGATTTTGAAAACGATTCAATTTTAAAAGCATATATAGATGGTTTCAGCAATAATACTATGGACACTGATGAAATAGAAAATAAAGAAACATTGACATCAAGAGAAATTGAATTAGAAAAATGTGAATCTTTCTACCCACCATTAATTAAAGCCATTGCTTTATTATCTAAAATTTATGAAATGATACATACCGTTGTATTTGATGATTTAGCACACCATATCGTCCATGACTGTGTGCTATCTTTAAAAAATGCATATGTAATGGTTGTAGCATCAACCAGTGATGCTGGATCCAACAAATTAGATATGGATTTAGCATACCTAAAGAACTTGTTATTACTTCGTGAACAAATTGAAAATTTCAATATAGAATATACAGTTACAGAGACATATTTGGATTTCTCTGCTGTCGAAAGTTTTTTCAGAACAATTCGTGAAGGTGCTAAATTCAAGAGATCTGAGTATTCTGTGCTATCATTGGCAAGAGATCTAGTTCCAAAGGTTGTAAATAACATGGTTGATGCACGTTATGAATTAATGCAGGAATTGAGGAATATCATTAAAAACTTTACTGAGGCAGCTTCTAAGGATATTGTCAGAGAGACTTTTAAATTTCTACCTGGAGACAAAGGTGAGAGTCTAATAGCTAAGAATGTTGAATTAAGAAGTAATATTGAAGACCGTTTACCACGTATATTCAACCAAATATCGACTTTCATAGATGATGACGGGATTGTAGTTCATTTGATGGAAGCCATTCAAGAAGTTGTCGTTCATTCTTATTCTGAATTTTTTAAATCAATATCTGATAGACAAAAGGCTGGGGAGTTTGATAATCTCGATATCTCTGAACTCATGGACATAGCTGTGTTTTCTGATTTTTTTGAAACGATAACCAAGAAATTAATTTCTTCTCAAAATGAAAAGGATCAAAATGTTATATAAATTGCAAACAATTCTATTAAGCAATCAATTAAGTAAATATTTATATACATTTTCACAAAGAGTTATAACCGTATAAATTCTGTGCAAGTGTTTAGGTTTTGGTGTGTATTTTTGACCTATGTTCAAACCAAAATCATCTTTGAAAAATGTTCTTAATTACATGCTGAATATAAATCAAGTAGAACTATATACTAATACAAACCAAATCTACAAATAGATGCTGAAATAAGAGTTCATTGGATTTTACATATCCACCAAATCATAGTTTAAATCTCTTTGAAGGACCTTGGTCAGCCTCATTTTGATTTTGAAAGTCATAGGTTCCTGAAAAGTTTGAATTTTGTAGAGATGATACAGCTGGCTGTGAATTCATTTGAGTAGATTCATTAGGACGCTTTTGTCTTGAAGCATTATTACTATTTCTAGAAGAACTGATTGTTTCCAGTACGGAATCGTATGCTTCCTTAATCTCGTTTATAGTTGTTTGAGAGAGGTACAATTCATTTGAAACCACATTTCTTAAAATACTACCCAGAGATTTTGCAATATCGATATTAATTAGCAAGGAATTATTTTTGCCTATCATACCATCATATTCAGGGAAGCTCTGTGGTGACAATTCATTAGTTGGAGGAATCTTTTGATAAATATTTCTATTTATCCCAGCCATACCAAAATTCGGTATTTGGTTTTCCATTTGAGAACTAGCTGAATTGGAAGCAATTGGTAGTACTCTTGGTTGAGGCTGGTGTAATGTTTCCGGCTCTGAAGAGACACCTAACGACATCTTAGAATCGATTATTGTGTTAATGAATTCATCGTTGTTAACAGCCATGTTTACAGGTGATTTAGTAAGCTCCAAGCTTTCAGCACTATTAGAAAATAATGCTGGCTTGTCAATGAGATTACTGACGTTATATTGTTTATTTTCTGGAAGAGAAGTATTGGCGTTCAAAAGTGAATGCAGAGTTACTTCGAATGGAGAAGTTAAATTAGAATTTGAACCGAATGTTGCGGCGCTAGATTCCGTATTTGGAACAGGCAGTGAAGTTTCATTGACACTGTTGGCACTGATATTATTATTATTCGTGGCAGTAGAAGTGGTAGAGGTGATGGTACTGCTTTCAGAAGGTGTAAATACGAAATTTTCAGGAGTTTTCTGTGGAACTGTACCAACTGGATTTTTCTCACATTTCTCCACAACAGAACATTCAATCAATTCTTCAATACTTAGGAAATTTGTGTTTTTATTTTCGATATTTAGATTCAATAATAAATCATGATCCCATTTTTCTACACAGTAAAATTGATCACATAAGAAATCTAGATCTTGTATCAAAGACATACTTTTCCTGAAAGCCGTCCTACGATCTTCAACCGAGTTGCTCATATAAGCAGGAAGGATGCCTGAACATTTCCAACTGGACTTGATGCTATCTGATGATACCTCATTCCACGATTCTCTTATGAACTTCAAAGCGTTTGACATTGTCAATTTACTTTGTTCAGGGTTCATCAGTACTTTAGTTTGCATTTTTTGTTCTAATTTTTTTTGCAAGTTGATCAATGCTTTGTATTGTTTGATTCTATACCTTATAATAAATTCATCTAGGACCCCCCAGTTAAATGGCAAGAATTTCGAAGAAGAGGAAGTATAAATCAGTTGAATATTTTTCAAACGGCTATTGATAATTCTGTGAGAAACGGAATCATCCAGTACAATCCAAATTTTTCTATTATCCGCAACCAATCTTTTATCCCAACTGACCAACCAATCGTGGAACAAACTCGAAGTTAACCAAGCTTTACGATTACTGTGGAATGAGATATTAAACTTCATTGCCATTTTTTGACCCAACAAAGCTTCTGAAACTCTATCTGTAGGTTGATCTGGGAAGTAGTTTCTAAAACTGATATAACTATCGTATTTCCCAATTACCAAAGGATTCAGTTTTTCTGAACCATCCAAATTCGAACACAACATCACAGTAGCCACATCGATCTTATTTGGAGTGTCGTTGGTGTCGTATTGAGCGTAATCCAAAGGCAGGTCATAGGCCAAACAGGTTTCATCCAACGTGAAGACATTGTTAGGTGGTAACTGTGCGAAGATATTTTTCAATATATCTCTCTCTTCAAAACTCCAGACTTTGGGCATCTTGGGCAACTCAAAAGTCAAATCCGCTATATCTAAACCCATCTTCGACAGACAAGTATTAATCCATTTGGAACTAAAAGAACCATCACCTTCTCGATGCTCTTCAGCCAATTTATGCCAAACCGACTGTGCAGTCTGCTGCAATATAGGAATAGTGATCGGAATACCATTCCAAAGACTCTGAGAAATCCACTCTTGCAAAACACGTCGTACCAACACATTAGTAGGATTCCTAATCCTTATAGCTCCCTTCTGGTGGTCCTTACAATTCATATAAACTTCCCGTTTAGCCAACAACCTCGATATAGCACCCTGAGAAGGAATCTTAGGCAACTTAAACGCCTCATAAGCCCACCTTGCCAACTGTAACTGAGTCCAGTTCTTATTCTTCTCTGCCATAAGACAGATATTGCATCTCTGTTCAATAGATAACATTATGTCCCCAACGCCTTCCCCCAAATAACTAGAAACAAAACCAAAAACAAAACCAAGAAAACACCAAACCTTCACAAAAAACACACAATCCTAGCAACAGCCACAGATGCTTGCAATAATACCTTCTAATCTCCCCAAACTAACCATCAATTAAACATTTTATCATCATCATCACCTTTATATGTTTCGAAAAGTTTCAATCGAAAGCTCTTTGGACAGTTTGAAAAAAAATATCGAAATTCGAATTGGGACCCTCAACGAGATGAGATGAGATGAGATGAGCATTTAAGAATGATGATTTATATTTGATCAAGTTGTCTTTAGATGACATTATTGATTTGAATAAAGATTCTGTTTATCTGATTGAAGTTGATGTTGAGTTTGGTTGGTTTTAAGGGATTGTGTTGTTGAAGATAGGACATAGAAGTTTGGTTAAGATTAGGTTTGGATCAAATGGTAAAATAGGAATGGGAATTGGTGAAAAGGTTAGTTTCTATGATAGGAGGTATTGGAAATATTGCGAGTCTTATGATACGTGTTATGTTCCGTTGTTGATTAGTGATATCAATTGTCGGATTGACAGTTCCAAGAGGGTTTGTAATGATATTTATGGTGGATTAATTGGCGATGTTTTATTTTGGGGGAATCGACCTTTGGTTAAGATTTGTGTGATTGGGTGTGTTATTGGCTGGCGATGGAAGTGGATTCGTAATGAAGAGTATCTGATTATCAAGATTGATGATAGCAGCGATAAACATGGGTTTTTGGATTGCAAGTGCTCCAAAAGTGTGTTACTAAGTAGTGGGATAGTCATTAGTAATGGAATAGGGATGACTTTGAAATTGTTTGGGAAAGTTGGGCTCAGGTATTGTGAGTTCAATATAACCTTCATGGAGTACACTGATGGATTGGTGTCTGAAGTGAACCATTGGCGAAGTTCAATTCAACAGAGGGTTCTTTTACAGAACCCATGGGAGTTTGACGGGTTGAAATACCAGGAGGAAGAAGAAAAAGAAGGAGAAGTGGAAGAAAGGGAAGAAAACGTGACAACTTCACATCCACGGATCACTAATAATCAAATTATTGTAAGTTCAAGTCCAATTGAACAAAAGAATTTCAATGACCCATTGGAGATCGCAAGTCCTTACAGAGAAATAGAAGAATCAATGTATGACAACGGAGAGATTAGTGTCATAATGTTAGATTCAACGGACCCGGTGGAAGTAGAATCCGACGAGGACAACTTCAACGAACAAAACACGAATCAAGCAGTGTTAAAAATACTTTTGAATGAACCTAAAGATAGAATTTCCACTGTACAATTATACCAACTACCTAAATTCATGTCAATAATAAATCAAATAAGCATCAATAGGATTCGCAAAGAGAATATCTCCCACAAAGGTCTGGAAGATATCAAGATAGAAGTATTTTACAAGCTATTAAAAACATTTTCTAAAAATGGATTAATCAAATATATTGATGAAACGGAAATTGATCTATCCTTATTACATAAAATTTATAAAAATTTCCAAAGACAAGTTTCGGTTCTGATACTATTGCGTTGTACCACAGGAAACATAGATTTGACCAAGTTAAAACAGTTGCCGGATATTAATAGTTCCTCAAATATTGAGTTTGCTGACATACTTCAAGAATCAATAGAGAAAATTGCAAAAAGTTCGCCAAATTTATTAAAAATTTGGCGGATTAAAAAGATAGACAAGAACAATTACAAATTGAACTTCGTCTACCATCAAGATAGAACCAGCAATTAACACATTCTACTCCATTTAAATTTTATTCATTGTCCTATTGATAGAATAAACCATAACTTTAACAGGGTTCCTATATATATAACAGAAAATATTCTCGAGGAAAAATGGGTTCTCAGAAACATCCGTAGAAACACACCAAAAAAAGAAAAAAAACCCAATTTTTTGAAAAATTTTGGGAATCGATGAGCTTTAAAAGAAGACAAGATGAGATGAGAAGTAAGAGACAGAGGTTATTAACTACAAGTTTTGGTTAATTGTGGGTTTCTATAATTATGATTGTGTCCAAGGAAATAGCTAGTTGTCAATATCTTGATCATAGTTTTTCATAGTTATGGCTTTGTTCAATGTTGAAGGTTGGGATTTGAAATCCGAAAAGGTTGCTTTTGATAATAGTACCACTAAGAGTAGAAAGAAGGCTGCTAGTAAGAAAGATGGTAACGACAAGGTAAAAAGGGGTGAAAAGCGTAAGAGGGATGATGAGGAAAGGAAAGTTGAGAAGCCGGTTGTTTCTGAATCTGATAAGCATGAACCTGAACCATTGTCATCATCGCCGATTGTTAAAAGAGAGTTGACACCATTACAGAAGAAGATGATGGCTAAGCTGAGTGGTTCTCGTTTCAGATGGATCAATGAGCAATTGTATACCATTAGTTCTGGGGATGCTTTGAGACTAGTTAGAGAGCAACCGCAGTTGTTCGATGAGTATCACGACGGGTTTAGATCACAAGTCGAATCTTGGCCGGAGAACCCTGTTAATGTATTTGTGGACCAAATTAGGTCAAGATGTGACAGACCTGTCAATGCTCCAGGTGGGTTACCAGGTTTAAAAAACAAGGAAATTGTAATTGCAGATATGGGTTGTGGTGAAGCTCAGTTATCATTAGAAGTTAATAATTTTTTCCAAAAATATAACAAGAAAGTCAAGAGATTTCAACAGAAACAATGCACTGTGCACAGTTTTGATCTAAAGAAAGCCAATAATCGGATAACTGTTGCTGATATAAAAAATGTGCCTTTAGAAGATGGATCGTGTTCCATCGTTGTGTTTTGCTTGGCGTTAATGGGTACAAATTTCCTAGATTTTATAAAAGAAGCTTACAGACTATTGGCACCAAGGGGTGAGTTGTGGATAGCTGAAATAAAATCAAGGTTCGCTGATCAAAAAGGGGATGAATTTGTTAATGCATTGAAGTTATATGGATTCTTCCATAAAAAAACTGATGACGAAAATAAGATGTTTACTAGATTCGAGTTCTTTAAACCACCACAAGATATTATAGAAGAACGTAAAGCAAAATTAGAACGTAAACAGAAGTTCGTAGAAGTAGAAACAGAAAAGGAAGAACTAGAGCGTAAGAGACGTAAAACTGCAGAAGGTCAATGGTTATTAAAGCCTTGTATTTACAAACGTAGATAGATATAAAGTTTAATATCATGTTATAGTTTAAACCTTAAGTTCAAATATATCTCGAAGAGATACTCCAACACAATCTCAAAGACAACAAAGTCCTCCTCCCCCTTAGCAAATATCGTTCATATAAATGTGTCAACGATCTATCTAGTCCTTTCACAATCAACAAAAATGTATACTAAATGAGAAAATAACTTTAAAACGACTTGGTCTATAAATAGTTTAAGAGTTTTTTCAAACCAAAAAAAGATATACAATAATATATACGACTACAAGTGGATGAAAAAGACCTCTTACAAACAAAAATAAGCACAGATACATACGCATATACATCATACACTCATATTGAATACGATCGAGTTATAAATTAAACCCAACCAGCTCTATAGTTACAAATCAAGATATAACAACCCCTCCTTCTCTCTTAATTTATATATCCCCCCCCAACGTATACTTCCAAACTAGTTTAATGAATTAAAATTATTCAATAATTATTAAATAATGTCATTTAACTAAACCAATTATATTCAATCCACCAAAAGATAAGCTAACCCAACCGTACACTTGAATACGACCAATTTTAACGAATGGAAACGTTTAATGCACTAATAATAATCCAAAACCATAACCTGCATTGGGAAACATTAAAATACAATAAAATAAACCAATCATCATTATCGAACCATTTGTTAAAACATAAATCTACTGTCTTATAATGCATCTATCCATCTATTGTCGCGTTAAATTTTACATCAATTTTACCTGCATGACATTACATTTTAGTTTTGCATAATGGTGTCATACAAGACATTGTCATTCTTATCATTGTTGTTACCCATTGGGATGGCGACAGAGATAATGGATTCAGTTTTAAAAGTATATAAATGAGGTTCTGTGTTTCGAATTTAGAGTTGTCGATGTTGTAAGGTTTCGTAATTTTTGTATATATTGTATTTATTGTCATCTTGAAATTTTAAAAGATGTCAGGCAAAGCATCGGTGAATATTATAGCTAATAATCTTTTAGATTGGGTTATGCAAGTAACCGGTGTCTGAATGTTTTGAATGTCAATATATATTAATTAAGAAGTGGTATTCGATTGATGTTTAAGATGTTTAGTGTTTTGTCCTGAACTTCAAACAAAGAAATTCATTTTTTTTTTTATTTGATTTGAAGAAATTTGATATAATTATTATGTATTTTGCGTTAGCAGTCGGGTTTGGATTACAGACACTTTAAGAAAAGATACATTTGTAATAATATTCCTATATGCATACGTTCCTAATTTTTAGTTATGTTTTCTTTTATTTTGGTTTTAGCAAGAAGTCAGTTTGAGGATGTACCCTTGTTGTAGTGGGGAAGGGTACGTCAACATGCTGGAGTCCCAGGTTTTACAGCCTTTTATTTTTGGAGTGTTTTTATTTAGTTGGTACTAATTGACTAAAATTTGGGTCTAGTATAATACTTGCCACTGGCTGGTTTTCAGTATTAGAAAGAGTCCATTATAGAAACATCTACTTTAATAAGCTTTTTTTTTTATACATCCATTTCAATTATCTAGTACAAAAAAAAAAGTTATACAATACAAAACACGAAAAAATTGTCATTGTCTGCTCCCAATCCAACGTCAAACAATATTATATGTAATTAATTTAGTCAAAATATCTAATTTCAATAAACGTACGTTTTATCATCAATTTTTATTTATTATCTTAAGGTTTACGCTTGTGCTGGCCCTTTCTCTGATAGTACGATATTTACTACCACATACAATAAACATTTGCTACCCATACATGTCTTGCAAAGTTTTCTTGGCTTTCTTACGCTGTGGTTGCCCAACACTACGCCTGGCCTCGAGTTTTGGCTCTAATGGTATTTCTGATTGTTGTGAGATGGCCTCGTTTAACTGATCACGTCGCAGTTGTTCATATTTTGTTGGATTAGCAATCAACACATGGTCAATCTTACTTTTATCATTTATTTCATCTCTCACACCAGATTCTTTGGCATGTTTTCTTGCAAACTGGTTCAATTCCGCAAACTCTTGACCTTCTCCTGTCAAATGACGTCGGAACATATGTCCCTTATCATCAACTTTACCAATATCTGCACTCTTGTAGATTCTCGATTTGGGATCATATTTGATTTCGTCGCTGCCGATGTCCTGCAAATATGCTGCCTTATCTTCTCGTAGTCTAACCGAAGCTCTTGCGCCAGCTGCATCTCCATCCTTATCATTATTGGTCAATGATACGTTCTTCGTAGGTAGTTCTAATTTTTCCAATTCAATTTCTTCATCAGTATCCCAACCTGGATATCCATATTCATCAATAGTGCTATCACCAAGCTTGCCCTCCCACTTAGCAAGCACTTGATCATACTCTTGTCCAGCGTAACCATACCATCTATCCTTCCTAGCATCCCAACTTGTGCTTTCATCAGCTCGACGTACATTAGCAGTTTGTTCAGAGACATCATCGTTATTTTCACTCTCTTTCACAGAAACCTTGTCGAAGATATCTTGAATGCCTCCACCAACCTTAGGTTCAGCATTATTGTCAATATCAAGAGCACCATCCCCCTTACTCTGTCGATGGTGAATCAAGTAATCCTCTTTCTCATTATCTTTTCCTTCACCATCATCATCACCTTCAGTTTGCTTAATACCATCCTTATAATACCATGGTTGGTTCCTAATGTACCTTGGGATATGTTCATTAACCCTAGATGAATCGTTTCGACCTCTAGAACGACTATTACCTCTTCTATTTTTCATCTTGATGTAGTTTCCTTTAGATATCTGATGGGTCAAGCTTAGTTTAGTAAAAGTATTGAAAGGTTCTTGAGATGTCCTTTCTCTTTATATACTGAAATTAAAATGCGATGAGATGAGCTGAGTGTTCCAGAAAGGGAAAAATCTTTAAATTTGGATGTATTTGATATTACTATTAAAATTATTATACAAGGTTATATATATTTATATATATATATTTGAGATGCTAAGAGTGATTCATATAATGGTATTTTTGTTAGTTAGATAATTAAATTAATTAACTGCTAGAGTTAGATATGAATATGAAGAACTTGAAAGTGAGAAAAAAAATTACCGAGATTACAAGACAATGGAATATTTTAATTAATCAGTGGTCATAGTTTTGATTTCTTCCAAGAATGATTCCTTTGGGTCCTTTATATTCTTTTGTATGTTCACACCATGTACTGATCTGAACATATGTGGGTCTTCATTTGCCAAATATGTTATTTCTTGGGTTTCATTGTCATCTGTTTTCGTTTGATCTTTCCAAATTCCTTTCTCTTGATTTAGTTTATTGTTTTCTTTATCTATGAATTGTTCTTCTACGAATTCAGAAACCGATTCAGATCCTTCTAATTGTTGATCTTCTTCTTCGAATTTATCCTTAGTAAACCATTTGAAACGACAACACCAAATGAAGTGGGATAAGAAGATACCTAATTCTAAACCTGCAATCAAAGCGTATAGAATAATACCTAACACATCTATTTCTCCTACTGCAACACTAGCAATCGAGAAGTATGCACCTAAACTGTCTAAAGTTAGGAATAAAAAGTTAATACCCACTACACGACCTTGTCTTTTAGCAAGTTCGAAATAAGGGGGCAGTAAGCCAACAGCAAGTAACACAGAGGCTATTATACCAAAGACCAAAGCTGGCCATTTGACACCTTTGGCATAAAGTGGACGTAACCAAATGATGAAACCAACTTCAGTACCTATATCAAATAGAATAAGTGAAGCTGTAATTAAAATAATCTTACGTTTTGCAAGCTTCGTTGGTGGATAATATAAACTTTGAACAAAACTGATCCCACAAAATACCATAAACAAATGTGGCTGAATCTGTAAGATGACATTTGGAGCTGTAATACAAAAATAAATTGCAAATGGTATACCTGAAAACACCCATAAAAACATCATTAATGGAGGTAAACCAGTACAATCTTTTTTCTTCCAATTATACCATATTTGAGGAATCAACTGAATACACCAAAAAACAGTACCAACAGTAGCCAAAGCTGTTGAAGCACCAGAATCTTTACCCATATCGACCAAACTACTATCCTCAACAATATACTTTTCTCCAGTTAGACCTTTATCCTATAAAATATTGTCGACCTTGATATATATATATATATATATATATATATGCTCGTTTTTTTGTCAATACACCTATAAACTGTATTCAACAACGATGTATTTCAAAAACAAAACCATCAAACACACCTCAGTAATCTTATATAACTCTTGAAAGCTATTCCAAAACCAATATCCCATCTCATCCAATGTAACCTCTTGTATTATCATCTCATCTCATCTCATCTTTAAATTCTGTTATTAAATATAAGACCATTTAGTTTTTATTATGGCGATAATAAAACGTTTGGACCTCATCGCCAAACGAAAGTGACTGCTTTAAAGAGAGCTCAGGAAGACGAGGATAAAATGGGTCGTGACAAGTCCATTGTTACCATCAATGGGATGAGATGATAATTGTATGAATGTGTGAATAATGTGCATATGTGAGTTTAGTTTACATTCTTTTTACTTGATCTGAGAGAATTCGAGTAATTGGTTGAATATTTAATGACACTTGCTTCGAGTCAGAATGCTTAGGTATTTCTGCTGAGGTTAAGAAGGACATGAATTGTGGTTTATGTCAAGGATATGTTGGGTGTTGACATGTGGCTGAATCTTAATTATTTGGCTTGTTCAAATGGCTTTTTGCCAAGTTCAGCTTTTCACTTTTTATTTCTTGATTCATTTAGAAAAGACAGAGTCAAAATTGCAAATGGCCCATTACCTTTGCAATAGTACTACATTCCACAATTTATTATAGAATAAACTTAAAAGATAATTTCTTTATATTAATAAATAAATAGTTTGACCTTGTTCTTCCTATGGGAGAAACAACTCTTTATTCCACCTTTTTTGCGTGGAACCAAGAGGTATGATTTTTTATATACTCATTACAAGGAATTATATATATCAATAGTGTACAATGTTTGGTTGTGTGAGTGTGGGGATGATTGGAAGAAACAACGACAAATTTGCAGCTAGGATTAGTTTGCTTTTATAATGTGAGTTTTGGGATTCGATTAACTGATTTTATTTTATAATTTTTTTTGCATTTTTTGGCTTTGGCTTTGTCTTGTCTTGCCTTTCTTTTATAATTCAGAAATTCTTAATTTAGGTATTGATTCATTTAAACGTCAGAGCTGTCCAAGAAGAAGTAGTTACCGGAAAGCTTTTGTTCTTTATCCATTTGGGAGTCCAACTTGTTGATTCTTGGTCTGAAAGAGTTTGGATCTCTTCTGAATGTGACGTTCAAATTCTTCAAGAATCTGTTACAACCGGTCAATAATGATTCCGGTGTTCTGGCAGTGGCATCCTTAGAAGGAATACCTTCAAAGACGATAACCTTGTCGGCCAAGTAAGTGGCCATGATGAAATCGTGCTCGACAACAAATGCAGTCTTCTTGTTATGCAAGATGAATCTTCTGATAACCTTGGAACAGACAATACGTTGTTCGGAATCCAAGTAGGCAGAAGGTTCATCGATCAAGTAGATATCGGCGACTAAACCTAAAGATAACACGATAGCAACTCTTTGCAATTCACCACCAGACAAATGTTGAACTTCTTGGTCAATGATATCATCGATCTTCAATGGCTTGACAACATCAGTTTGGAATTGAGGGTTTAAGAATTGGCCTCTGATCTTCTTGAAGAACAATTGTCTAACAGTACCTGGGAACTTTGGAGCGATCTTTTGTGGTTTCATGGAGACGTTTAATTTTGGAACGTCAGTACCGTCATCAGCTGGGATGGCACCGGCCAACAATTTAATCAAAGTAGTCTTACCGGTACCATTTTCACCCATCATGACTAAAATTTCAGAATCTGAGAATTCACCAGATTCGACATTCAAGACGAAATCACCTTGGGTACGTTTCAATGAAGGGTATTTGAAAGCACGAGTGGCATCGAATTGTAATTCCTCACCAGCTTCGGCCATTCTAAATTGCAAAGCTTCAGTTCTGAATCTCAAGTTTTCAGCTGGGATATGACCATCCAAGAAGATGTTAATACCTTCTCTGACGGAGGCAGGTAGAGTGACAACACCATAGACAGAAGGGACACCGTATAAGATACAGACGAAATCAGAAAGATAATCTAGGACGGACAAATCGTGTTCGACACAAATGACGTATTTAGTTGGGCCTAATAGAGATCTAATAATTTCGGCAGCGTTTAAACGTTGCTTAACATCCAAATAAGAAGAAGGTTCATCGAACATATAAACATCAGCATCTTGTACACAGGTCATACCGATAGCAAATCTTTGTAATTCACCACCAGACAATTGAGAGATTTCTCTATGTAAAACGTTTTTCAATTGTAAGATACTAATGTAGGTCTTTACATCATCTTCAGTTTTTTCCATTCTCAATTTCAACAATTCACCGACTTTTTGGACAGGACCTTTAATAGCTCTTGGCAAGTTATCGACGTATTGTGGTTTGATGATGGCCTTGATATCATCTTCCAGCATTTTAGTGAAATAGTTTTGTAATTCTGAACCTCTGAAGTATCTGATAATTTCTTGCCATTCAGGAGGGCTTTCATAACGACCTAGATTTGGTTTTTGCTTACCTGCTAATATCTTCAAAGCAGTGGATTTCCCAATACCATTGGTACCGACCAGCCCTAAGACTTGGCCTGGTCTTGGAGTAGGCAATCTGTGTAATTTGAAACTGTTAGCTGAGTAACGGTGGGTGACTTCATTGTCTAAATTGGTTGGCAGGTTAATGATTTGGATTGCATCGAATGGACATTTTTTAACACAGATACCACAACCGATACATAGAATTTCAGATATGAATGCGATTTTTGAATTTGGAGCCACTTCAATACATAGTTTACCAGTTTTGACGACAGGACAGGAACGTTTACACTCCTGTCTACATTTTCTTGGTTTACACTTGTCTTCTGAGACAATAGCAATACGTGTATTCTTATCACTCATAGTTTGAACAGATGGTATTTTTAGAATGAGGGAGAGAAGGAATGAAGACAAGAAGTAGAAATAGTAACAATAACAATTAAATTAAATCAAATCTAATAATCAAGTATGAAATAGTCAAGTGTTAACTTATAACGCTTGCTGTGTTTAATTTTGTCCAAGTCTGATTGAGATGGTTGTGTATGGTTGGTATAAGTGATGAGGTTCGAAAGTGAAAAATTTTCATAGTGAAGGACGAGATGAGATGAGATGAGCAGTGAAGCGATGGGACAGATGTCTTTAAAGGTAAGGGAAATAAGAGCGATGAGATGAGATGAGATGAGATTAGAGGTGGTTGTATGGTAGTGTCGGTATGTGAATTTGTAATTGCAATTGTATATTTTATGTTTTATATGGTTTTGTATATATATATATATATACAGTTGTGTTGTTGTCACAGACCACCGACGTTTCTTTTTCTTGCCCCATTATCTCATCACACGTACACAACGACAACTTGTACACACGTGACCAATAACCACAATATTACCCGGACCACTATCATTTCTTTTTTCTGTTCTTTTTTGTTTTACCCTGCCTCCACATTCGCCTTCTCCTCTTCCTCTTTCCCATTTCGACCAAAAAAATTTCGAAAAATTCGAAAAATTTTGTCTTTTTTGTTTCGAAATCGAAATTTTTTTATTTGATCGATGGTGGTGAGAGGAGACCAAAAAAAACGTTGTAGTTTTCAATAGAATTAGAAGGTTTCAACTGTGAGAAGCCATCAGATGAACTTGTTTAATAAGAAACTGGATTATTTTTCTTATTGAAGTTTTTGTAGTTTGTAGTTCTTGTAGTTCTTGTAGTTTTGCTCTAATCTGTTTTTCATCTTTTGGACCAGTACGGTGTGAATCTTTGTGACAGATACAGTTTTAGTTGTTTGGTCTCTTTTTTTGGCCTGTTTTATTTTATTTATCCTAACACGCACAGTATATATTAAGATATAACACAAGAAAAATCTCTAATAATGTCTGATATTACTGAAAAGACTACTGAACAATTGGAGAAGTTGAGTTTGCAAGAACAACCTGCTTCTCAGGAGGAATCCAGTTCTGGTTCTGCTGCCGAGGTCTCATCTGCTTCCAATGGCGGTAACTCTGGCACTGCTGTCGACTCTGCCTCTTTATACGTCGGTGAACTAGATCCTTCTGTCTCAGAAGCATTGTTGTATGATATCTTCTCACCAATTGGCCCTGTTTCTTCTATCCGTGTCTGTAGGGATGCTGTCACCAAGACTTCTTTGGGTTACGCCTATGTCAACTTCAATGATCATGATTCAGGTAAAGTCGCCATCGAAAAGTTGAATTACACTCCTATCAAGGGTAAGCCTTGTCGTATTATGTGGTCCCAACGTGATCCTTCCATGAGAAAGAACGGTTCAGGTAATATCTTCATCAAGAACTTACATGCTGACATCGATAACAAGGCTTTACACGATACCTTCTCCGTCTTTGGTAACATTTTATCTTGTAAGATTGCTACTGATGAAACTGGTAAGTCTAAAGGTTTTGGTTTCGTCCATTTCGAAGAAGACACCGCTGCGTCAGAAGCTATCGATGCCATTAACGGTATGATGTTGAACGGTTTGGAAGTTTACGTCGCTGCTCACGTATCAAGAAAGGACCGTGAATCCAAGTTCGAAGCTGCCAAGGCTAACTTCACCAACGTTTACGTTAAAAACGTAGATCTAGAAGCCACCGAGGAAGAATTCGAAGAGTTATTCAAGAAATTCGGCCCAATTACTTCCATCTCCATGGAAAAGGACTCTGAAGGCAAATTCAGAGGTTTCGGTTTCGTCAACTACGAAAACCACGAATCTGCCGCTAAAGCAGTCGATGAATTAAACGATTTGGAATTCAAGTCTCAAAAATTATACGTCGGTAGAGCCCAAAAGAAATACGAACGTTTACAAGAATTAAAGAAGCAATACGAAGAAGCCAAGCTAGAAAAGATGGCCAAATACCAAGGTGTTAACTTGTTCGTCAAGAACTTGGATGACACCATCGATGATGAATTGTTGAAGAAGGAATTCGAATCCTTCGGAACCATCACTTCTGTCAAAGTCATGAGAAATGAAACTGGTAAATCTAAAGGTTTCGGTTTCGTTTGTTTCTCTTCCCCAGAAGAAGCTACCAGAGCTATCACTGAAAAGAACCAACAAATCGTCGCCGGCAAGCCATTGTACGTTGCTTTGGCTCAAAGAAAAGACGTCAGACGTTCTCAATTGGCTCAACAAATCCAAGCCAGAAACCAAATGAGATACCAACAAGCTACTGCTGCTGCTGCCGCTGCCGCCGCCGGTATCCCAGGTCAATTCATGCAACCAATGTTTTACGGTGTCATGCCACCAAGAGGTGTCCCATTCAATGGCGCTAACCCACAACAATTTGCTGGTATGCCTCCACAACAATTTAGAAATGGTGCTCCAGTTTATGCTGGTATGCCACCACAAGGTGCTGGTGCTCCACCAAGAAATGACCAATTTTTTGCTCAACAAAACCAAAGACAAGCTTTGGGTGAAGAATTATACAAGAAAGTTTCTGCAAAGACATCCGATGAAGAAGCTGCTGGTAAGATTACAGGTATGATCTTAGACTTACCACCACAAGAAGTCATGCCTTTGTTGGAAAATGATGAATTGTTTGAACAACACTTCAAGGAAGCCTTTGCTGCTTACGAATCTTTCAAAAAGGAACAACAACAAGCTTGAAGTTAGACTTTAGTTTATTAGTTACATATGTGTTTTCTACTCCCTAGTCACAATGTCGATTTAATATATATGTACTCTATTGTATTTTATAATTGAATACTGATTTCATTTTCTATCTTTTTATTAAATCCGATTTTCTTAAAAATATCTATACATTAGATTATAGATATTAAACCAAGTACAAGTGTAAATATAAAAATAAATATAAATACAAATACAAATACAAATAGCAATATTAAGATAGCTTTAAAATTGTGGAGGATACAAACAACGACTCAATTCGGGGTATGACATATCGATTTGTAGTTCTAAAATTAAAATAACCTTCCACAATCGAGTAAATTACAGTGACTCCCCTTTTACAAAAGAAATGCGTCAATTGACTCCAAAGCATCCATCTAGGCCTTTTAATTAATGTTCCTATAAAAATATATATATATATATATATATGACACTATTACATAGATAACGTGTATTGCATTATGCAGATAAAAATGGAAATATTTTAGAGACACAATGTTGTTATCTCCAGTTTTCCATGCAAGTTTACCTAACCAAAGGTTGCATTTTTGTAAATTCTATATACAACTGACAAGCTATACAAGCCTACATTCTTCAACATAAAACTTTATCATTTTATCAAGAATCAATTGAAACTTCTCATATAATTAACGTTTCAAAGGTATTTCAAACTGAAAGTGAAATACTTACACATTCTAGCACTTCAGACACCACTGACACACACATACACACACTTCAGCAAGATATTATGAATTTACAGGTGTGTTACCATTTACTAGTCTTTGGCATCAGATAACTTCCTGTGTTCCTTACTTAATGTATGAAATGCTCTGCAATTTCCAGTTATTTTTTACAACAATTTTAGCATTGCAACAAACCAGCTGTAACTGCCCCATAGGGAGGACAACCACCAATAGCTGGAAAGATACAGATTATGCTAAAAATAAACGGAGCTCAGAATAAAGGACCTTACGCTATACTATACTTTTATCATTCCTTGACCTACTCTAGTATAACCAAAAACCATCGATTGTGACCTCTTTCCAATTACTTTCTTGCTTATTCCTTGTACGTTTTCTCTTTCGCCTAGTGGCTAAACCAGTTTTTGGGCTTAATTTAGCAGCAATATCAGATTCAAGCTACCTATAAATTTTATTGGAAATCACTGAATAAACTACTTACAGCTCTGGAACAAATTTAGTAACACTCTAATCAATCATTAGAACCATACTCACCCCCGTCAATACCAATCAAAGTTCTCTACATATACTCTGTCCACCGTGAGAAACCACCTTCTCTTTCTAGCTTCTTAAGCCTCCCTCTCTAACCTACCCTACCTTCACTGCTCTCTTCCTCTCCAACCAAACATACCACCACCACTGCAACAGCAACTGCCATCCCCCTCTAGACAGAAGTTCTCCCGTGAACGGTTCGGTTCCCACCACCACCACCACCCCCTGGGCTGCCTAGCTTGGGAAGAAGACCTATCTCTCTCTCTGCCTAGAGACTCGACTGCCTTTTAACATCGAGGTCAATAATCGACCTTGGCCTTGGCCTTGACCTTACCTCTTGATCTTGAGCTTGAGCTTGACCTTGGTACTACCACCAGAACCCATCCCTCTCCAGTGGACAAGAGGCAATTTCAGTATAGTTTGTATTGATGCATTGGTTTGTTCGTAGGTCTGATGTAGGTTTCGATTCGATTATAGTACAATGACAGTGGGAACGAAGAGGGATCAATGTTTGATGCAATGATGAATGAGGTAGATACAGTCAGTGGGCAAGAATGGTATTATGGTATGTAATGGATAATAAATAACTATATAATTTTAAGATAATTAGAATTTTGTTTTAGAGTAATTGGGCTGATTTGGCATCACAGCTTTCATACCTTTGCTTTGGGCTTTGATCTATTCAAGCGAAGTTGTCATCTCAGTTTTAGCTAAGAAGACATACATTCTGCAAATATCGAGGGAAGATAGGTCGATAGATATAGAGATAGAGAGATAAAGAAGAGGAAGGTCAAGTCTTTGAAGAATTGTAGTGACTGTGGGATTTTGGAGTAGGTACTGTCGTGGTTTATTTATTGTTTTTTTTAGTTATTAAATTAGATTTGGGTAAGAAAGCACCTTAACTATAATAAAAAGTTTTTGATCCATCCGTCTGTGCTGAATCTAATAATATTTTAATAGCATTTCTTAAGAGCCATCAATAAATTAGCAAAGAACAAAGGATTTATTATTTAATTGGACATAACCAATCAATTGCTATCTCATCTGTTACAGCCCAAGGCATTATACCATCTATATGAGATTCTACATTGTGGATTATCTGATTCTGTAAAGTTTGATTTCCATCGTGGTCGTTTTCACTTTTTGATAATTGCATTTGATCTGGCATCACCATCATTATAAATTTATCATTCCCTGATCCAGGGTTATTATTATTGTCATAGGTTTCATTTTCTTTTTGGAGCTTCCATTGCAACAGTGGTTAGATCAAAATACAATAGAGAGATCAAGATATAAATTAAAGGGAATATACTAAATTTTTGCTTCGAGATCAAGTTACTATGGGAAAGAATTCACGAAGTCCCAGTGTGAATGGATCATTGCCATCACCTAGTGCAAAATCAATAAACAAATGGAAAATTCCTCACTATTATAAGAGATCTCAGTCGCAACATTCTAACCAAACCTCAAAGGAAGGCGATAGCAATGTTAGCACGCCAGTGCCCAATGTCAATTTAGTAGCATCTCCAAAGAAAGTGATCCTTGATCCAATTGGTAATAATAGAGGTACTTTGAGTAAGCAAAAGAAGTCGTCGAAGAAAAATGGTCGAATGGTTTTCGTTAATTATACTGTACAGGATACAATATCTGAAAACGAATTGGCTATCGAGTCACAAGATATGTTGAGCAGTCAACAGTTTGCTTCAAATTTAACGGTTCCCACAGATTTGCCCGTTGGGAAGAACAATTCAAGAAGAAATATGTTAAAGATATTTGGATCTACTAAGAACTCACCAATTTCAGGAGCTAATTCGATGGGAAATATGTCAAACACTTCTACTCCAAGTAATGTACCTTTGGAGGTTGAAAAAATGGACATGCCTAATCAATTATTACCAGCAAGCTATGAACAATTACAACTACCACATCAGAATTTACCTATAATTGTCAATACCGCATCCTATTCGAATGATTCGATAAATGATTCAATATCTTCAGGCTCACCTACCATTATTGAACAGACAATGGGCCCTCAAGCAGTGAAGATGGAAGATAAACCAAAACCATTGCCACCTGTATGCAAT